CCCCCCCCCCACCCCCCCCCCCCCAGCCCCACCCCGGGGCGCTGACTGGTGGTGTGAGGTCATTGGCCCGCGGTCCGCCTGCGGGCATCAGCCCGATGGACGAAGAGTAAACAGGCGTGACTGCTGACCTTCCTTCCTCTCTCTCTCTCTCTCTCTCTCTCTCTCTCTCTCTCTCTCTCCAAGACACGGAGCGAGCGCTGCCAGAGGCACCGAGAGACGACTTGACGCTTCCTTCCTCTCCCTGTATCGACCTTCAAATCAAATGAAGAAAAACGACTTCGGATTTGGACCGTGGGTTTTTTCCCAGAGCGGACATTTGTCCGCGCTCCATCCTGCTCTGTCATCCTTTGCACATCTGCGCAAAGTGTAGAGTGAAGTGTAGCGTGAAAATGTATTCATAACTCTTGGACTTTCCCACATTTTGTCAGATGACGAACTCGTAAAGCATTACATTTTGCAGCCTGAATAAAGTGCTGCCAGAACTTTATTTAGGCGGTTAACAAGTAGAGTCCAGTGGCGTGTAAGTTTAATACAGATGATGTTCATTAGTGAACAAACAGTATGTTAGAAAAAATTGTGGAGGCAGCAGGGGGAGGAAAGCTGGTCACAGCTAATTTCAATCAATCAATCAATCAATCAATCAATCAATCAATCAATCAATCAATCAATCAATCAAGTTTAGTTATGTAGCACATTTACAGCGACAGCTAACCGGTTTAGATCGCAGTGTATCCATGTGCTAAAATGGCCTAGACAAAGTCCAAATGTAAGTCCAGTTGAGATTTGAGGAAAAACTTAAAAAAAAAAAAATGTGCGTCCTCAGATGCTCTTCATTCAATCTGAGTGAGTTGGAGCCATTTTGCTGTTTTCGCAAAGCTTGGACTCAAGCAGATAAACACAACGACTCGCCACCTTTTTTTCAGATTGTTTTTTTTTTTTTTTTTTTAAACAAAATCACGTTCCCATCATCTCATTTCTATGTGACAATTACGGTTCACTTTGTTGGCCTGTTATGTGAAATTCCAGTGTCATGACGGCTGAGGCAACTTGTAGAAAATGTCCAGGCCTGACTTCTGGACTGATGGGTTTCTAATTCCATCCCAGCCCCGGTGAGCAGCGCTGGGATGGAGACTGGAGGTCTGAAGGTTTTATATCTTTGCTCAAGTTTCTCATGAAATCATTCAGAAGTGCTTTCAACAAGAACCGCCTTCGAAAAAAAAAAAAAAAACGGTGTTGAGCGAGACGGCCTGCTTCATGATTTTTTTCCCCCCACTTAATGAGTTTTTAACACGTCAACAAATCTCCTCCGGCTGCTGTGACCTTTTCTCTCGCCAGATGATGAAGATGATCGACTGGAGATTGAGAGATCTGGAAAAAGAAAGAAAGAAAAACTCTCCCATCTGCAGGGTAAAGATGTCGATGCCACCTTCTGCTCGGACGAGAGAATCTGTTTTTCGTCCTCTGCTGCTGCGTAATAAAAACACATCTGGATGCAGAGATGAATGTGAAGTGAACCCCAGCCGCCTGTTTCCATCTCAGGCTGCAGGTGTGATATCAGGAAAAGGGTCAATGCTCCTCTGGGGCTTTTTAACTCTTTGGATTTTTCATCCTTTTCTTTTTCTTTTCCTTTTTTTTGCAGAAACACGTGATCGACCCCGGCGCCAAATCCGAGCCTGGTTTTAACGTTAGTCATGCCGAAGCTGAACAGAAGATGGAGGAGAGAGAGAGAGAGAGAGAGAGAGATAAAAAAAAAAACGGGTGAAAAGGTTTATTGAATGTGGCTGGTGCATATGGAAGCACTCTAGTGCCCGATTCGGCCATCTGGACTGGTTACGGCTAAATGTGGCAGGGTGTCCTTAAATGTGCCCGACTCTGTTAAAATTCTCTCATGCACAGATTAAATGAAAGTGTGGCTCTGCGGATTAGATTACAGAGGGCTTTAAAACATGAGAGACTTTTTTTTAAAATGGAAAACGAGTTTAACCAGATCAGCTTGGCCATTTCATTGTTTCACTTTCTCTTGAAACTAATGTGGAATACTTCTCCATTTATTATTTACATTTTGTTATCAATTCATCAATAGATACTTTATAAATCGTTTATTATGCCTTAATTAAGGATGATAAGGAGTTTACAAATGGTTATTTTGCTTACAAGGCAGTCTGAAATGTTTAATATAACAAACAGATCTGGATCACTATTTGGCAAGAAACTGGTAGATTTTGTCTGCTTGTCAGTCTTAATTAATGGATAATAAGTGTTTAGAGATTAGTAACACATCTATGAACTATTTATTATCCATCTCTAAGCGGAGCCTTGTTGTAAGGTGGCACCCATGTTTTTATTTTAGTGTGAGTTCTTAATGTCCACCGCCAGATGGCAGTCTGACCCCACTTAACACTAAAACGTGAACACTGTTGGGGAAAATGCAAAACCATCTTTGGCGGGGAGCTTTGCATGTCAAACCATGATGTGCACGACAGGAAAAATGTGCAACTGCTTGTCCTATGTATGGCAAACCCGAAATCACAACTGTCATTAAGAACAGTTAAATAGATGTAAACTGATATTGATCACCAGTATGTAAATAATGTGCTCTCTTTGGAACGGTTTCTCAGGACCAAGTTTCTAATTTTACCTCCACACATTGCATCAGACTCTGAAGGTTCGTTCAGTTTCACCGTAAGTTGAATTCATCTTAAAATTTTCTGCAGTATTCTGATTTTGCACTGCGTCATCAGAGGTCAAATTTCAGGTTTCTTCGCTAATCAGATGTAAAGGTGCTGGCTTGGTTTTCAAATCTTCCCTCTTTTTCTTTTTTTTCTTTTTTTAGGTCGACCAGACAGTAAAGGAGCTCTGCATAAAGGGAAGAAATTTAAATCCCTGGGACTTTGTGCAACATTGACGTCACCGTCCGCTTTTCTTTTCACAGAGTGAAAGAGACGAGTCAGGTCTCAGTCTGTTGTTCATGGCACACTTGCAGCCGCTGAGGCGTTGGCACACCAGAGACGAGTGTTTGACAGTGAAAGTGACTAAGTCTGTGGGGTGGATGAGGAGAGCAGCTGCTCCTCCGTCCACACTTACATAAAAATGTCCCAGTTTGGACCATATAAAGTAAGTTTGTTCTTCATAACAGGCTTCAGATAATGTCACACATTTCTTCATGAATACAGACGGTTTCTGATAATCCTTTTAGTTTGACTTGCAGTAATGCTGTTAGTCTTGTCTAGCATTAAAAAGAAAAACACTATCCAGTGTTATGCTTTTTATAATCAAGAGATAATAAAAAAAAAAAACACAGTTGAGTTATGAAGCATGCATTTTACACTGCAGGATTTCAGGAAAAAGCTGTTTTTAAGAGGTGAATTGACGAAAAAAATATATCTCTCCTAACTGGTTTGTGTGCATTTGGGATAATCAGCTGGCATTAGTAAACATTACAGCTGAGGCGGGGTTATGTATTTTAAATCACAATCGAGTAACTGTGTTGCCTTCAGTTGTTGTAAAAATGCAGCATGTATAAAATATAAAAGATATTTGATTTCACAACTTTGAAACTGGACTCTGTCTCTTTAAGAAGCACCCACTCTTTCCAACACTCTGCCTTTTAGCACACTGGTTTTACATAACGGAGCATCGGACTGAGAAATAGTTCGTCTGATGAGCTCAGCAGTTCCACCAGGTGTTTGCTAATTGCAGCTGCTGCTAGTTTGAAGGAGCTGAGGGGTCTTTAGCTCGATGTGGGGACTGAAAAGTTGGAGGAGCTTTGTGAGATTAAATGCTTAGCCACCTTGAATTCAAGGATTTCTCAAATCTAAGCAAAGCTGCAGGAATGTTTTGGATGATGGAATAACATTGTAACATGACAAAACTCTACAGGAAGAGGATATTTTACATAATTCTGCCCCTTTGAAAGATTTCAATATAGATGTGTGCTGCATTTGGTTCTTTCTGTGAGTCTGAGTCAGAATTTTGCTCAGAAAATCCTCAAGATTTCTATGGAGTGCAAAACTGAAGCAGAGCGCGAGGGTGACAATGCTCATCTGTGGCTCGAGATGAGGACTTTGAGGAGCGTGTTGTCTTAGATCGATGAAGTGAAATAAAGCCCTTTCCTGGTGTTTCCAGGATTTATGGAGATAAGCGTATTTGTGTCTGGCAAGCAAGAGCAGCATTGAAACTTCAAGAAGGTCATTTAATTCAATAACGACCTTAAAAGGTGGTTTTAACTAAAACCCCCTGTACCGGACCATGTGGTTCTTTGTTTGCTTTTGATTAAAACTGGCCATGTACACGTGGAAAAACGACATCTAAATACAGATGAATTGATTATAAAGAAGAGTCCTACTAATAGAGTTCATCTGTTTTGCCAAGTTTTATAAAGCGTGGAAACAAAAGGCCCAATAAAAGCAGCTCATGTTGATCTCAGCTGCGATGTTCTCTAAACAAACGTCGACTTGGCAGATGAAGCTCGACGAGGACTTGCTGGAAGTTTCTCCTCTCAAGAAACTTATTATTAGGACTTTTTCCCCATAAGTGCTGGTCTATTTAAAGCTCAGAGTAATGACTAAATTACGCTTCATGGAAATATTTGGACAATAAAAAAAGAAAACCAGAAAAACAACACAAACTCATAGATGTGCTCTTAAGTTATTTAAAGCTTGAGCGAGAAAAGAGGAATAAGTTAGAAAGACTCATGATTTCCCCTAAACAATTATGCAATATGTTAGAGGCAAAAACACATTGCAGAAATAATATTTATGTTTCCTGAGACATTTCCTTCTTCTAGCTTATTGTGAGCACAACACCAACCAACTAAAGTGTTATTATTGAACCTGTTTGCAAAACTATTCCAACACAGAGCACACTGCAAAAACACAAAAGCATTTTTGGTCTAGTTTCCAGAGCTAATAGCTAAGTACATTTGAAAAAAGATAAAAGGAACTTACGAACAGCTTTTCAGCAAGATATAGGAGCTTGTTTTAAGTCATTTGAGATATTTGCACTAGGAACTAGACCTCATCACACTTGGTAAGATTTTGTCTTTTTGCAATTCTGAAGGCTTCCTGAATCTACAGATAAATTTAGACAAAAATAACTCAAATGAAAGATGGAAGGTCATCTGTGACCTTTGATTTTATAAAATAAAAAATCTGGGTACAATGAAGATGAGTAACTTCTGAATAGATGCATATTTCTGTGTACACGAAGCTTGTGCTAACATCAACATCCACTTCTTCTGATCTCTGTGTCGTCAGCCATTAAACGTCTCACGGAGGGGAAATGAGTTCCTGTCCTGTATTTGTGTCTTTAGTTTCTGGGAAGATGCAGAAGGTCTGGCAGAATGTTCTGATGAGGAGGATATTGTTATCTTTTTTCTACAAAGTTTCCCTCCATCTCTCTCTCTGTTCGTCGTTGCTTCTCCCTGCAGGAGCTGAAGTGTTTCTAAGAAGTCTCTGGGATGTTTCCATGGAAGCTGAGTGAGAGATCATTGAACCTCTCTGGACCTCCCGCGGGGCGTTCACTGTAGCTCCGTTTCGAACTCTTGAAGCAAATTACGGGAAAAGACAAACAGACTACACTCACTCTTCCTGATTGCACCTCATAATCTACCTGCTGATTTGCTAAACCCCAGAAAGGGGGAAAGACACAAGCTGTGTCTTCAGTTCTGACATTTTGATCACCACTGATTATTCAGAGGAGCGTTTTTTTTTCTTTTTTTCGTGTAATTACCGGGTTACATCAGTGTGTTATAAAAGAGGACTTTGAACCAGTTAGAAACGATCCAGGCCTCTTTTTTTTTCTTAGAACAACTTGGAAGCTTCAGGAGTGAAAACAGGAAGTTTAATATTTGTAACTTATTTCTTGGACACATGTCTGGTCCTTGAATCTCTCCTAAGATTTAAAATCATAATCTCCCCATTGCCTGAGCACCATATTTCTTCCACTCGACATCCCTATAATGTGTTTAAGTACCGCCTCCTATTGTAAAGTTTTTGCATGTCTTGTAAGACTTCTGCAGATCAATAAATAACAGATGTTCTATAAATGAGTTTGTTTTCAAAACGGTCAAACATCATAAACCCCTTCTTTAATAAAATCTATTAATATGCCAAAATAATCAATATGCATTATAGCTAAACTGTGTTTGTGCTGACATGCAAACACACATAAAAACACAAATTGTAGTTTTTGTGCACTACTACATAAAATAACAACATAAGAAGAATGGATGTTGTACTGTGACCCAATGTGAAAGTGCTTGAGGGATATTAATTATTTTTAGATTTTTTTTTTCTTTGAGCTGCTCCCTATCTTAACTCTTGGAAATTTTAAACAGGAAAGGGTTTTCCTGGTTAATTAAAGCAAAACAAAAAAAGAAAAAAAAACAAAAAACAGAAAGATTCTTTCTAATCGGTCTATCAGAACTTCCTGTAATCCACGCGTTAATGCAGCACACAAAAGGCTTTTCCAGAACTTACCCGCCGGCGGTAACGAGCAGGGAGTGTGCAGTTAATGTGGTGAGTTAATGATGCAGATGATTGCAGTGATTAAATCAAATTAAAATCCTTTGTGTGATTCACCGGTGTCCTTTGAATGCCGACTGAGTGGAGGCCATGACGCAAACGCAGCAATAAAAGAACAATGGTAAAGGTTCTCCAAAACATTTAGGTGTGTTCTCCCGATGGGGTTCGGATGGGTTACCAGTCTGGATTCTTACAAAGAGTTTCAGGGAAATGTTTGACTTTTGGAAACAATTTTTTATTATGAAAATGTACATGTTGTTTTAAGGGAGGATGACAAACTCCTGACATACTGCGTTGCCATGAATGATTTAATTATGGATTGTAACGTGTACTGACAATCTGGCCACCATGCCTCTGGAAAACCTCAACACCCTTTGAACCTCTTCACATTGTATTTTAATATATTAGGGGTTAGGGTGACATTATAAGCCTGGCGGGCCACCAGGATTTACTTGTGAACCCACCAGGCTAAGTATTCCTTATTTTTTAAAAATCTTTTTAAAATGTTTGCATTTTTTGAGAGTTTATAGTTGGTTTCCAGATGTCAATCTTCCAATATTTTACTAACACATAATTATCAAGTGATATTTTTCAAATTTCCTGTCAGCTTTACACATTTTTTAACTCAAAAAGACGATGGGCCGCTGGATGACTGACTAGCACCCAACCATCAGGGTTAGCAAGTTCTCTGGGGGAAACCAATACGTGAAACTGGTTTTTCTTTGGTGGCATTTCTTTGTAACTGCAAAGAAACGTGGTTCTAAAAAGTATCAGTATGGGTCAGCTGAATAGAAAGGTGTGACACATTTGAGATATTTAAAGAAAACTGAAACGTAATTGAATTTTCCTTCAAACTCACATTTATGCATCACTTGATGTTGGTCTACGACATAAAATCTCATCAAGAGACACAATGATGTTTGTGTGTTTCTCAAACTTTTGACTTGAAACGTAACTGTGAACCAGCGCTCCACTTCAGTCACACTCACGTGGATTCTCACTGAAAGAGTCGACACAACAGACGAAATAAAAAGAAGCATCCGGAAGGTCAGTTCATTGTCATTTTTATTGAACACAAGAAAAAAGGTCATTGTGAGGGTGTTACACTGTGGCTCATCTCGTTAAAGCCTCAAATCATCACTGATAAAGTGCACTTGCAGTTATCTGCCATGTAGAGACGCGTTCGTCTCGTCGTTCCCCCTCGCTGAGGCCCGGTCATGTCCGACACGGTGCAGAGCGCCAAGACGCGCTGCCAGGACACGACCGAGCGTCCCGGTGAGAAAGAGTGCATAAGTTAATGGAAGCTCAGCATGTCTACGAGTCCGTTCACATCGGCTCCTGCCAGTTTTCCACTGTCTGAACCCATTATTACTAGAACAACGTGACAAACGTGAGCGTCGGCGCGTTGCTTTGATGATGTGGTTGTGATTGGAAAACGGCAGGCTTTTATTCTTCGCTGCCGACCGACCTCAAGCTTAAGATCTCTGCCTATTTCAGATCTTCATTTTAAAAAAATAGTTCCTATTCCTAGAGGTACTCTTCCACGTAGCTATAATAAGTACACAAGTGTGTCTTCACGAAGAAAAATAACGCTCCGCTAAAGACGGCTGCAAAGTCAGTATTTGAATTCGGTTTGGCACGTTTTCCTCCGGTCACGGAGAACAAGCGAGCGAGAGAGAGAGAAACATCCGGTTCTTCACTTTCAGATCTGCCTCTCCTGCTTCGCTCACGCAAACTAATTTAGTAAATTATTTATCCTACCTTTCATCTACGATGTGTGAAATGGTGATTCCTTACTTATGTGCAAGCAAACAGGAATGTCAAAAACATTCGAGGAAAAAAAAGTTTGATTTTTTTCACTACTCTACAGGAAACGGCCAAAAAAAAAAAAAAAAAAAAAAAAAAAAAAAAGAAGAAACCCTCCTAACGGAGGAAAATCTACAGTACAAAGGATTCACAAGGATCCTTGACCTTCAGGATTCCAGTGTGCTACATAGAAACATCTGACAAAAACCAAGACCAAACAAGTGAGCTGGTGTTCAATGTAGGAACATGGAAAACAAACAAAACTAAAAAAAAAACATCTGTGTGCAGTTCCAAAGAGATATGTAGTTAATTTCCCAAAAGTTGGGGCGAGTTCAAGAGAAACATTCACCGCACATCTCAAACCTCCCCTCGTTAAAATGACAGCTTTTAGTCGTAAAAACTGGAAGCGTTACTGTTAAACGTCGATATTTTTCTCACCTTCAATGTGACAAATATTCTGTGATTAGAGGTGAAAATGTAGCAAAAGCTTTAATAAACCTGTTTGCAAAAAATGTGCCCGGTCTTAATCTTCTGCTTAATTAAAGCACCTTTTGATTCCATTTCAGCATTCGTCTTCAATTCATCTGCCACTTATTGGATCAGAATGAGCTGAAAACAATTTCAGCTTTTAGAATTTCCTTTCATAAATGCAGAAGTAACAAAGGACGAAAAAGGACGTAATTGTACAAAGGCACCAGTCAGCAGGTGGGTACAAAAAAGTGGCATATTGAAAACAGTCATAATTACTAGAGATAATGTGGGGAATGAGTAAGACTGGACTTTTTTTTGTCCCTCCAGAATATGAAGACAACACTGAACCTTCAGCCACAAGATACAACATCCAGAGTGAAACATGGTGGTGGCAGCATCATACTCTGGGGTTACTTTTCTTCAAAGTATTACCAAGTCAGGATGTAGGCATGCCTACAAACTCCTGGCAAAGAAGGCTGAACGCCTAAACTCGATCAAAAGGTGCATCATCAAGTATAGCCGTTAAAGCTGCAGTGCGCAACTCTTATAAATATACATGTATATTTACATATTTTTTAAATATGTAAATGTATGAGACAAATAATGTAGTACGAGACAGATAACCTATGAAAAAATCCCCTTCTCCCAATGCAGAATGCAACACTCCCAGTCAGAAACAACCAATCAGAGGGAGGAGGAGTGTCTTAGTGCTGCCAATCACACCAGTTGACATGCTGCTAAATGTGATAATGTTGGATAAACTTTTTACCGTTACAGGAAAACTGTTTGTCTGCCATCATGATGGTCATACTAACTAGCATTAGAATTCATAGCAAGCTCTGCTGTGGGGGGCTAGCTGTAATTAACAAATACGTAAAATGTAAATAAATCTTTTTTATAAAAGCTACATACTGCAGATTTAAAGTGTGTTCACATTTGTGCAACTAGATTGCTACTGCTTTTTTATGTCCACTATGTTTATCCCAAACAAATTTGTTTTTCTGTTAATTTGTCTGGAATATGTCATCACTTTACATTAGATAGATATATATAAGAAAAGTTTTAAATAATTTGAAACCAGACTCAAAACCTGCCGTTTTACCAGGGGAGTGTAGACTACTGAGATCCACTGTAATCTGATACAGCCAGACACGCCGCACTAAAAAATGATTAACGAATAAACAAATCAGCTACTGATAAAAAAAAAAAAGAAAAAAAAAGATGCAAATGTTCCATCTTATCCACATTTGTTACCAACGTCACATATTGCACTAGTTTGACTTTTCGATGCACATCAAGAGGTTACACCGTTGTGGAATGCGTCTCCTGACTTCGTCTTTTTAACCCACAAGCTTTACGTTCGGTATTACACAGAGCTTAGGCAACACACCGGCATTTATCAGTCAGCATGAAAAAAAACCATAATAAATATAATAAATTCAATAAATAGTTGATTTCTTTTCAAACAAACAAACAAAAAAAAAAACTAACAAAAATTCAGCCAATTCCAGGCATCCATTTGACGGAAAAATAATCAGAGTTGCACCAATCAGTTGACCAGACATTAGAATCAGTCAATGCTCCGTTAACAATCAGCTCTAATCTCTGAATAAATGCATTTTCACACCAACCAGCCGCCCTCATGTTTTTTTCTCAACTTAATAAAATGGTTAAAATGGAGATAATTTTACAGTTCTCTCATTTTCTGTGTTAATCAAACCTGCAGCACACTTTTTAAAACATCTCCCAAGTCTTGTATCATAAAATTTGATTTGGTCAACAGCGGGTCAGAGCTGATCGGTATCGGCCCAGAAGCGCCTGATTGGTGCGTCTCTGAAAAGCAGGTGTAGTGTTTAGAGTTTGTGGCTCAGTTAGTGTCGAAGGTTCTGATCTTTCAGCTAGTATGGGTTTCGGATTAACGCTCAGATATTGCTTCAGATTGAGATTCCTCTACGGATCGTACAGCGTTTGTCTCCAGCTTCATCCAGTCGCTTAAAAGTAGAAAAAAAATAGGGAACAGCCCTAATGAGAGGAAATATGACTGGGTGGCACATAATGGACCTTACATAATTAAATCTGATATGGTTCAGTTTCTGACCAACGTCTGCAGGAGAACCCCAGCAGCAACGCCACGCTACTGAGCGTTTTTGCTTTTCCTTAGTAAAGTGCAGTCCAGATGCAGGTGACTAAAAGACTAAAGGAGGAGAGATGAAACAAAAAAAACACCCAGAAGAGAATTGGCACACATGTCAGGGAGGTGGGGAGAAGCAGGGAGTGGATGTGGAACGTCTGGGTCTCTTATCCTAAAAAAGGTAAGTAAAAAGTAACTCAGTCGCTGATCCGGCGCCGGCGTCACTCCCTCGACTGGTAGAAGAGGATGTATCCCGACTCGGAGTTCTTGGAAATGTCCGAGGTGAGTCCGTAGAACTCCTCGATGGCCTGGGCGTCGATTTTCTGCACGACACGGGGAGAAGGTGATGAGAACAGAGAGCGCCCAGACGGACGGACAAAGGCGGGCAGGCGGAGCGACGCACCTCCACTATGTCGTCGTCGAACAGAAGCCAGAAGCCGTGGCTCTTCACTATGGTGATGTAATGACCTCTGTTGGGGCCGCTGAGATCACAGGAAAAAAAGAAAATAAATAAATAAATAAATGTGACTGAATTTTACAGAAACTGCTGCCGAAACTCCTCAAGTAGCTCTAAAAGAATGATAAATCAACTAATGTTTGAAATAAAATTTGATAACCAATGCTGGTTTTACCTGTGTATTTTTTTCTTTCTCCAAGTGAAAAATCGGTTTTCCACGAAAAACATAAGTGATATTGCTTTAGATCTTTTTATTTTAATCTGTTTTTATTAATCATTAAATTAGAATGTACTTTTTAAAAATAAATTTCAACATCCAACATAAGGAAACATATCCATCCTGTGCAAATATGTTGTTTTTCTTTAATTTAAAATCTAAAACAGACAGAAGGATGGGTTCTGTAAATTACATGAAGTAGATGTTCATCCAAAAATAAAAGTTGACTTTTTGTTATTAAAAGTAACATCTTAGAGTTTGACAATCTAAGATGCAGACCCGTTCTACACAATAGCTGACGTTAATGTCGTGAACAAACTTCACAATTTTTATTGCCGCCGTTCTTATTTAATGGAAACAGAGCAATTACGAACTTGTGATTTTTCGACATTAGCGGAATATCGACAAAGTTTTGCAAACATTTTTAATGTAAACGCCTCCCTCAGATAGGTGGCCTCACCTCCCACAGTGAACCACCACCGCCACCAGGTCGTACATGCGGTCCAGGTTTACCGCGTCCCCAGACGTGTTGAAGAGGCGGAGCTCTAGAGGGAAAACCACCCGATAGGAGAGCTTGGTGTAGCGGTGCAGCTGCTCCATGTACTTGAACCTCTTCAGGTGTAGCGCCAGGATCATAGGAAGCTTCTTCACTCGCATCCTGCAGAGTAACAGGCAGGCTGAGAGAGACATCATAGGAACTGGGCTATGCAAAAGTATTCACACGCACACACCGAGCATTTTATTGAGATTTTACTTGATGGAGTAAAAAGACGAGAATGCTTTAAAGTCTGGGTTTCACTGACCGTTTCTGTGCTTCTTGCTTACTGCAGCATGTTTCACAGTAGTATTTGTATTCACTGCACAAAGTCTCTGTGTTACTGAAGTCCCTGGAGGAGAGAGCATGCCACCGGAGGCTTGGTTAATCTGCCACTGTCTGCTTCTTCTGCTGGGATTCAATGTGTGATGAACCTAACCTACCTGAGACAGTGTGTTATTGATGTGTTCTGCTCCACGTCCACAGAAAGGTCCAGGAAGTCCTCGTCTTTGCTGCTAACCTGCAAGACAGCCATGAAACTCCGATGTATCTTTGCCTGATGGACTCAGAGAGGACAGGGTCCCACCATCTCAAATTTAAGATATTCTAAGACAACTACGAATGAAATTTAAGACTTGTATTGCAACAGAAAAGTATAAAATTTTATATAAGTAGTAAGCACTATGATGCAAACATGGGACTGTTTAGTTGATTTCTTTTTTTTAAAGATTTTTTTGGCTCTAGTGGCCTTAATTTGATAGTTAATTGACAGGAAAGTGGGTAATGAGAGAAGGGGAAAGACATGCAGCAAAGGTTGCCAAGGCCAGGAATTGAACCTGCGACAGCTGTGTCAAGGACTAAGGCCTCCAAATGTGGGTTGTGCTTAACCCCTACACCACCACAGCACTCCCATCTATGTTGATTTCTGTCTGTCCCTATCAAATAAAGTTACATTTAAAAAAATCCAAAATGTTATGAATTTCGGTAAATTCATAATATTTTCCAACAGGTATGACTGGTACTTGATGACCCTCGTCCAGCCGACTTGGCGGTAAATTTACACTTATCCATTATTGACAATAGAAACCGAGCTAGCTAGCTAGCAAGAGTACATTAGCAGCTAGTTAGTGTTAGCCTGAAGCGCCTTGAGTCATGAAAATGCTGAACTGTTGAATGATGGGAAGTCCTGCAAAGAAAGGAAAACTACATAGAATATATGAGATTAAATTGTAACGTCTCAACAAAATTTAAGACATAGTCAAGGCCAACTTAGATTGTTTTAAGACCTTAATTTTAGATGCATGAATTTAAGACTTTTTAAGGCTGTGTGAAGAAGTGTTTCCATGTTGCCTTTCTCAAATGTGTATTTCACAGAGGCAGCGTTGCCTTAACACAGGGCAGAGTCTTGGGTGTTTACAGGGGTTGCTCAGGGCAACCTGGCCCTCTGCTCGCCCTCAGAACCGTGTAAACAAACCCTCTATAGATCACACCTCCAAATTCAGGGTGACGCGCACACACACAAAACCGTGCAGCATTAAAAACAAACTAAACAGGTCTGCTCTTACATACTGTTTCACAGTTTAAGCACCGCGTCTCATTGGTCAGTGTGCCTTGGAAGATGTCATGAACCCATGTGGGCTCCGTTTTGTTCTCCATCTCGGCCTCGGAGGTGACAGCCGTGCCGTTGTTCTTCAGGCGCCCGTTCTGCTTCTCCTGCTTCTTCTCCTCCTGCAGGATGTCCGCCACTGTGTTCAGCAGATAGTTGAGGAATTCGTGGGCATCTTGTTGCATGTAGTTGTCGAACAGATCTGCAGGGAGACGAAAGGTGGGGAGGAAACAAAGATCGCTTTCAGACAGAAACAAGTGGGTCAAAATGTGTGCAGTTTGATCTTATAATGGAGATTTTTTTTCTCCCTTATTTTGACCTCATACTGCAAGAACAGTCTGTAAGCCCCTAAACAGTTGTTGTTTAGCCCTGTCCATGAATATTTGTTTGTTTTTTTGGGTCCATTTTGGTTTCAGTTTTACTCCAAAAGGGATCAGTGTGCAATCTGATACTCATTTGAGTAGAAAAATAAAAAGAATGCACTGATATGAAAACTCGGGGCAATGTGAATATCTGATACTAAAATTGCTGTTATGGCCGATAATCAATATTTATCAATTTTGCATATATTTCACTACCATTTTGACACTTTTAGGGAAAAACATGACCAGAAACAGGTGGCAACAAAATAAAAAGAAGAAAAAAGTAAATATTGGATGTTCATATTGGGCCAGTTTTATTAATCGGACTGATATTGAAATGTTTAAAATGGCTGATACTGATGTTAGTGCAGATTTGTGCTAATTATTAAAAAGTAATTAACATCTGTGCCCGGTGTATGCTGGCAAAGCTGGGCATTTAAATGCAAAGATAATATTGTAAATACGGACAGAAGCATTAATGTGAAACAAGACACATAAAGATATAATATTTTAAGAAAACACACACACAAAGGAAAACCTTTTCTCTTTGCTACTTTATCATAAATCCAAACAGGATTTTTTCTAACAGCAGGAAAGAAAGTATTTAACAATGCGAGTCGCCTATACATGTAACAACATTAGCGTTGTTGTTGACTCTACCTCTCCATTAAAAACAGTTTCTCTTTCTGACTTCTGAAACTGTAGGGAAAGTAAACAGTCAGCAGACCCTGCTGATAATACATGCAGCACCTGTACACACTCCTGTTTTCATGCATAATGTGAGAGGTGAAACTGAGAAGTGGAGTAGATGAGCTGAGCAGGGGAAAAAAAACAAACCTCCACATAGGAGGCAGCTGACCAAAGCTGGGCCCAGACAGAGATCACATTGTTCATTCATACATAAAGGCCTTCCTGAATATGGACAGTAGAGAACAATCAGGCTTTCTGTCAGCCCCGCTCTGAACGACCTTACCGCCAACATGCAGCTGCCCTTCACCCTAAATATTCAGATTACATTAGAGCTGAAACGGCTGCAAACACACAACACAAACCTGAGCTCTCCACGTATCGCGTTAAGAGAACAGGAAACCTCCCGCTCCACCCAAACCGTACAGCAGAGGAGCGTCCATCCAATTATAAGCCTTTGTGTGTTTTAGTCGGCCACGGCGCGCTCACCGTTCTCCTTCCGTAGCCGGGAGATGAACTTCTTGGGCGGAATGACGCCCACTTTCTTCTTCTGCGTGGCGATGGAGTGGAAAAGGTCAGCCAGGCATGTGAGCAGGTTCTCCTTCTTCTTCTGCTGGGCTTTGTAGGCCAGCACGTTCTCCCGGAAAGGCCGGCAGAAGTAGAGGGCCTGCAGCACCGAGTTGCAGTAGCACGTGTTTCCGAACTGGGGAGAGACGGAGACGGAGGGGCCTAGTCAAAACAAGAACTCTGATACGGTCCAGGTGTACGCTTAGTCTGTAACGCATGTGTTCATATAAAGTTTAATGTGTTTTAATAAGATTTAATATGATGGACCAACACAAAGTAAAGCAGAACCGTTTCTTTCACAATCAAACATGTAAAAAGTGGGCGGGATGACACAGGTAGAGATACAAAAGAACAGTTCCAATCGGAGCACATTTGTGTTTAGAATGGCCCAGTCAAAGTCCACACCTGAATCCAATCAAGAATTAGTGGAAATACCCTGAAACTGCTGTTCATCTGAGCTCGCTTTGGGGGTGAAAGAAGAACAGGCGAAGATTTCTGAATGTGGATGTGAAAAGGCCCCACAGCTGGAGTTGCAGTAACGTGACTGACTGACTGGGGATCGATGCAGTGAGAAATACAGATGTTTATTTTGAAAATCATGTTTCGTTTTTCTTCTACTTTATAATTATACACCACTTTGTGTCAGTCCATTACCTTAAATCCCAATAATAATAATTAAAAAACACAGAAGTTTGTATCTGTAAAGGGACAAAATGTGAAAAACAATGAAAGAGTAATTATTTGCAGGGTCCCGTATTTAGTGGACCATCAGGAAACGTATTTGTTCACAGCACATTAAAGATGCAGGACATCCCGTGATTAACAAACAGCTCTGTTACCTTGAACGCCAGCTGTCCAAAAGCAGACGTGACTCAACCCCCCTTCGCCGTTTTGTTTTGAAATACGACTCCGGTGTTATCTGGCAATGAGTGCTGTGAATGCATGAGAGGATTTAGTGAAACTCACGTTGACCAACCCGAAGTAGTGCTCATTGATCGGGAATTGCTCTGGGCCGATGTCTTTCTCCAGAGCGGAGGCATTGGTGCCCTGAGGGAGCAAAAACATGAGACGTGCCGTCAGGATCGCCAACATGGTCGCCTGCTGGAGGTCTTGAAGTTACAGCGTGCTGGTCGGCTACAGCCAGGGTTTCCTCTAGGAACCATGGCAACGGGTTGTTTGCACGAGAGCAGGTTATACAACGCTGCTAAATATCATAATGAGGCAGCCTTCAAAATGTACGTACGTTACTGTCACTCAAATGCAGCAGATGTTAACATTAGGATTGTTTTCACAGACTTGAATGCAGCCAGTTTAACCCTAGGTTCATTTATTTTTCCCTTTTCTCCACTTCGAACTGCGGTCTGTACTTTTCCTTTACTCCTGAAAGCGGCGCAGCGCACAGTAGCCGGCAACACAGCCGGACAGGAGCCTGTGGTGTTCGTCAGGCCTGTCGCAATAATCAATAAATCAATGAATTGCATGTCGTTTATTTTTTTGTTTAACCAAGGTAGTCAACTTGTTGCTTTCCAGTTTCTTTATCATTTATTTTTTCCATTGGCTGTTAAGCTCCTAATTGCACAGACTGAACAGATTAAAGGTGTGTTGTTTTTACATGTTTGACCCAGCTTGTGAAGCTATTGGTGTATTTAAATATGCTATACTGGGGAAGAGCAATCAAATAAATGTATAATTCAGTACATTTGTGTCTATGTTTAAAAGTTAAGCCAATTCAGGGCTGTTTTTCTGTATCAGACTGGCATCGGCCGATACTAAAACTGTATCAGATATCTGTATCGGAAGTGAAAAAAGGCGGATTGGGTTTATTAAAGGAAACCCTGACAATAAAGTGTAACAACTAAAAAGGATCCATCAGAAAGGCAGAAAAGCGCAGTCTTTCAACGCCGGAAACAGATCCGCTCTAAACAAGCAGAGTCATGTCAAAAGTCAGGAGGATTTAGCTCCTGGTTGCTGAGACGGAGCACTTATCTCCTGTCACAGCCTTTTCTTTTGTAGGAGCTCAAAGCTTTTTCCAAATGAACCGCGGCTTTGTTGAGAGAACACAGCGGACAATTTGGTTTGGGGATGCCTTTGACTTATATTGGCCTTGATTTCTTTCTGTCAAAGCGCAGTCTGAATGCCCCATTGTCCGTTTAACCGCCTCCAGAACATGAACGCAGGTCTGCAAACTGTCTGTACCCATCATAACGGGTAATACATACAGAACATTTATGAGAGATGGAGAAAGGACTGACGCAGGCTCTGTTGTGGGGAATTAAGCTCTTACTAGCACTTTACACCAGAATGATTACTGCTTTTAGTTTTACAGTTACTCACAATGAGCACAAAAATGATCTAAAAAGTTTAAAGATTAATGTTTTATATTTTCTAATCATGTAAAGACATGCAGGCACTGATGTTCTGCCCAAAATCAGACAGGTCCACTCTTGACCTGCAGAACATGAACACTGTGGTCCCGACAACCAAAACTAAGGACATAAAAGTTTTACAAGTTTAGTTTAGGTTGAAGTGTGTAATTGAGCACAATTACATATTATTATTGGAAAACACAGAAAATATGACAGATTATGATCCCTGATCAAACCAAAACACCAGTTTGACCTCCTGTTGATTTAATGGGAGTCATATAACCGTATTTCCTTACAGTAGACCATGAGGAGAATATGAAAAATGCTTTTTAAAGCAGGTACGAAATATTCCCATTTTAAAAGGTAGGAACCTTTGAAAGTCTTAAGCATCCTGAAAAAGATGGCACTAATTTGGCCCCCAAAAAACATCTGTAGTAGTAATAGCTAAAAACTGAAAAAATGCATAAAATGACCAGCACCTGAACATCTATTAAGATTTATTGATCAACATAAAGAACGTGGTTAATCCCATCAGTCCTGTCAATCAAACATGAGCATTTTTCCTACACACTGCTTCCTTCTGTGACATCAAGAAAAAAAAAAGTTAAAACATACTGACTGAAGATGGTAAGAGAGAGTCATCATCCACAGCAAAACAAGTTCTGTACCCACAAAGGCCACTCAGCGAGGAAGAAGACATTAATTCAAAAAACAACATAGCAGCATGTCAAGACCGCCAAGTTAGAGCTTTGGGTAGAAGTGGGTCAGTGACCCAAAGCACGCTGCCAGATTAGCTACAAAGTGTCTTTAAGGACAACAAAATCAGTGCTTTGAAGAGACCACCACAATGACGTCAGTGGAAAAACTGTGGGGAGTAAAAAAAAAAAAAAGTATTTGCATACGAGCACGGCAGCCAACAAACTTGACTCAGTTATGCTGGTTCTGTCAGGAGGAATGGGCCAGAACTCCTGCAAACTACTGTGGAGGGAAACCCACAACCTCTGACCAAGGTCATACAGTTTAAAGGACAGTTCTACCAAATATTCTGAAAACTACTTTTGTTTTTGTTTTTTAATAATTTGTAGAAAAACTCAAGTGGTTTTCTCTCATTATTGGGGCGTTCGTGAAGCAGGGATAATTTGGTAATCCTACCTGCCCTGAAGTGATTGGCATCATTGAGACAAAATAAGTTAACCGTGTACGTAAACATTTCAGTTGTTTTATACCAACTATGTCTGACTCTATTCCCCCCACATCAGCTGGTGTCCCCTATGTTTAAGATGCACTTGCTCCAAAACAAATGAATCAAATGGCTGAATTTTTTCCACTGTACACCTCTATTTTTGGAAATGCAAAGATACACATCTGCATTTGGATCAAAGGGTGTTTCACGGCTTTTTGATGCTCAAATCCTCCAATACTAATTCTTTAAACCACATTTAAAGACATCTTTTTTTTTTGTCTTCTGTGTAAACTTCGCTCCAACTAAAAAAAGAAGAAGAAGATGATGAAAAGGACATTTCTACTGCAATTTTGGTTCTCCAACACTCCACAGATCAAACCCCACAATACATGGATCAGTCAAACCTGCACTGGATTAACCTACACAACAAGCACAATGCTCAAAGTCGTGCAGGGATAAAGCATAACAGTGTGCAAAAGCAGCGCTCAGAGAAGACTAATACTGGCGGGTTTTGACATCAGTGACCCGTCTAAATAAAGCAGGGGCCAGTGGCATTAACACAGGCATTAAGTCTGTTCTTCCCCACTCTTCTCCAGCCATGAACACAACGTTAAACACAGATTAGTGCAGACTCCTGCTCTCTGCTGCAGCTCCACATTATGCAACCAGGACCGACAAGCTGTCAGGGGCTCACGAGCCGCTTCGTTCTCCTGTCAGTCACAGCTGACAGACGTACAAATTACCCACTCTGTGCTGAAACACGCCGGTCTGGTGTCCGTGGCCTGTGTGAACAATAAGACTCGGAGGTGTTTAAAGAAGCCCCGCAGGGCTTCCCGTGCATCCTCCAGTGAGGAGTCCCAGTCGGGCGCAGGTGGGAGGCAACCCAGCCACAAACATCCCCGTCCAGCCAGGTTCAAAACTGTTGCTGCAAACCAATCAATAACAACACGGAGGTTTACTCACCATATTACAAATGGAGGCGATGTTTCTGACAGTCATTTAGTTCACAGTGTCCCCCACACCGCCATTTTTATAAAATAAACTGAGCTGGGCGACGCTGAGAAATGAAGTTCATTCGCAGCCGCGGCTGGAGGCCAAACCGCAACCACGGCCGTCGGAGAGCACCATGCAGCCGGGGAAACACCGAGCCGAGGGCCGCGCTGCGCTCACCGTCCGCACGGCTTCATCCTCGCACACATGTTGAAGGAAGCTCAGCTTAAAAACTGACAGTGTCCGGAGGAGAGGAGAAGTTACAGGCGGCAGGTTGCTAGCAGCGACCAGAAAACTATCCCACTGCGCGAGGAAGTGATGTAGACCCGCCCACTAGAGCAAAGCTCCGCTGCTGATTGGTCCAGAGTTACAGGTTTGATTGACTGCATAAGCTGACCACACACAGAGCTGCACGGTGAAGTTTAACCGAGTTGCAACCAATCGCCATCAACTAACTGAAAATATTGATGTAGGGACATGTAGTTTATTTGAGGAAAGCGAATTATGCACCTTTCGCACAAAGAAAAAACAAAACAATGATTAAATAACTAATATAGTCAAAGGGTTTTCATTTGTCATATATAATTAATCAAGTAGATATATTTAAAATCAAATACGGGAGGCTTCTTCAGAAACCTGGTACAAAAGTGAATTTCCTCTAGTTTATCCTCTAGTTCTGTTCCTTTATACTGTTTAAATCTGAGATAATTAAATGTAAATTTATGTTAACATATGAAATCAAGTGATTGGTATAAATTTATACCAATCACTTGATATTCTGTCTTAATTTTATTTGCTGTTTTTAGAATTGTTTTAAATTGAGAAATAAAAATAATGTCATATAATACTAGTACTAAATGACTTCTATTAACTTTATTTTAACTTTGATAATTGTAGTATTTTTTTTTATTCAGCCATCTTTATCTTAATAGAATATAATCTAGACACGTTGGTTTTGTCTTTAAAGGTGCTCCTTATGCAAAAGTTGACTTAAGTTGACATTTATCCACATGTTTGGTATTTATTCACACATTTCTGTAACAATGTAGCACATAAAACATCTGTTTAGCTTCCTGGGAATATGACATAAACAAAATGGCTAAATATCTTAATCGGTAAGATTACCACATATAATAATTACTTTCATTGTTGACACAATTATAACTTTTTAAACTTCCATTTAGCTAAATTTATTTGAATTTCATTAGTTTAAAATTTTTATCAAGACTAAAGAAGCGTTTTGGAATCAAAAGAAAATTTCTGTGTTAAGATGAAAGCTTGTCACACACTTTTTTTAATTTATAGGATAAGCGTCAGCCTCCTTTACTGCCTAGAGACGAGCCTTGTTCTCTTCAGACGTGCTATTCACTAGGGATCCTTCTTCATATGACAGCGGGCAGGTCTCATAACTAACCACTGAATTTGCAGGTATTCTGCCCTCTAACCACCAATTAGCCGGCCAATAGGAAGAGGGAGGACATTAATGTACTTTCTGCAGGACCCTGCAGGAAGCCCTGGGCCCTCAGGACGCACTCATTCACCAGCAGCTCTGCTTGAGCTTTCACGACATTCCTCTTGGCAATTATCCCTTTAGCATTCAAATGTTAACCAAAAAAAACGATAGGAAAACGACAAATAATTACAACAGACAAACTTCAAACGCAATGGGAAAGAAGAGAGGAATAAAAGTACTCAAGGCAAAACAAATAAGAGGATAATAGAGTTGTCGGAGGATGGGATTGGCTCATTGTTGCTCTGATAAGCATGCTGTTATTGAGAAAGTTGCTTATTGGTGTGCTGTCTCATGTTTATTTATGAATACTTTAATGGGCAGGGAAACAATGACTTGTGAGGGCTCCAGACAGAGATGGTTCCCATGACTTACTTTCTATTTCAGTCCGCTCTGTATTAATAGGACTGACTGTGGATGCAGATGCTCCATTTATGACTCATATGAACTGCTATCACTCGTGTTCCTCCGTTTGGTTTCACTGATGGCATCTAAATAATCAGGCGAAATAAACTTCTGTTCGTCTAATAGTCTTTTTAGGCAAGACTAAAAAGACTATTAGACATAATGTCACATAATGCCACTCAACTTTTTTGTGTTTTATTATTTATCATAATTGTATATGATAGAAATCACATTATAAATCCTGAGTTATGGACCTGTTGGACACTTCTCTAAGGAATGCTTTCCCTGCCCTCTCCAGCTGCTTTGCCGTTGACCATATAATTTCACAATTTGACATTTCAAAAATGAAATTGCTTTTGAAAAAAATATGGAATTTGTTTGGTGACAAAAAAGAGTGGCCAGAATTTTTTTTAAAATAAATTTTGTCATAACTCACGGAAGCGATGTGTTTAATTTGTGTGAACGGCTTAATTATAACAAGTCGTGTCCACAAAATCTTTTTTCCCCCCCTACGATTTCACCAGACAGGCTACGTAAAAAAAGCGCTTGTTTTTCAGTAAAATGGTTTGCCGCTGTATGAGCTGGTTTTTTGTCCATATCAAAATTGGTTTATTTTGCAGAACTGCAATGGAAACAATTTTTTCGCGTCATGAGTGACATGATCAATAACTGAATGTTGCCACTGGCGCAAGAAGAAAGCGACAGGAAGTATTTGGAGGATGACGTCACAGCACAAACTTATTAATGTAAAAAATTATTATTTTTTAAATATTAGCAGAATATTGAGAAAGTTTTGTTCACATTTGTAATGGAAAAGCAACCAGTGTTGGTTCAGGTGGACGGTCCTGTGTTGATAGGTTTACAGCTGTGCTCTCTTTCAGAAACGGAGCTCGTTCTATTTTCTGACTGGAACAATGCAAATGCCCACCAGACTTCTCCCTATAAATAGAATAAAATAAATCATGCACACTTTTCCTTCCACTTCAGAGTTTTGCATTATATTGTGTTTGTCTATCACATGAAATCCTACTAAGATAAACTTTTTGAAGTTTTCTAGCTCAGCAGTGTTTCTGCATAGTGGAGCTGCACATGCACGCACATGAGATAAATGGAAAAAAAAGAAAAACATCTTGAGCTCAGAATATGCTTCCAGTAAATGAGGCTGGCTGCACTACTAAAAAGCACTGGTGACCTTCCTGCAGTTCTGCTTCAACAAAGAGAGGTAAAATGAATTATGCATCATTTCCGTAGCGCCAGGAAAATAATCCTTTAGATTTAGCTGGGTGATAGAAAGCAGCCTTGTTACATCTGGCACGATCACAGAGGTTAAGAACTGTTTACAACCACGACTTGAACTTACTCCGTACAGAGAGGGAGTTTCATGACGGCTGCAAACAGATGAACCACAACAAACGTCTGTATGAAGCTCAGCAATGGCTTTTGAGTCCACTGTGATCACTTTGTTTGTTGTAAAGGTTTCCATACCACTGAACTTCTGGGCATTACAGCCAAAACAATTGATCTCTTATTAGGATTTTATGTGATAGAGTAGAAAATAAAAATATGGCCTGGCTTTTAATTCAGTCTGTTTTACTTCTGGTGCCACTAACAGAAATACCTACAAACCTACCCCAAGACATGGCTGAAGATGACAGATGAAGAGAGAGAGAGAGAGAGAGAGAGAGAGAAGTAATCAGAGAAACAAACAAAGATGATCATTGTTACTCTGGAGAAGAAGCACAGATCCACAGCTCAGGTGGGGGAATCTGTCAACAAGATGGATTTATGGAAAGGTGTGAGGAATCTGATAGATATTTCACAAAGAATGGGCAATAGTCCATTCTTGGAGGAGACATACCACCAAGTAAGTGTAGTGTCGGGTGTTTCTAGGGGTGACTGTGACTCACTGGGTAGAGTTGTCGTTTGTTGGTTAGATTCCAGCTGCCTCCTGTCACGTGTTGATGTGCCCCAGGAAAAGACTTAACCCCAAGTTGCCCACCAGTCTGTGTATTGGTGTATAAATGTCTGTGCCTGTGCGAGTGCGAATCGGTGAATGTGGCTAGTGTAACGCGCTTTGAGTGGTCAAAATGTCTGGAAAAGTCAGTCCATTTCACCATTAGACGAGGGGGGGGAGGGTGAATAGAAATGCTCACCACACTTTTCAGAAAGAAAAAAATTCCAACATTTTGTTTCACCTTAGTTTTTTAGTGTTTAGTATATTTATTAGGCTTTTCACCTCATATTTAAAAAAAAAAATCACAATTCCAACAAGGAAGAAAAAAAAGAAAAAATAAACACAATACTGGATGTTTCAGTATTTGCGGAAACATCCAACATTTCCGTAAATACTGCCACTTACAAGGTATGTAGCAAAAAAAAAAAAAATTATTAATACCATACAAAAACCTCATATTTGTGTTTTAATTTTAAATATTTGTTTTCTTTGAGTTCCTCTCATTTAATTCCAGGGACATTTCTTTTTCAAATTCAACCAAGTGTTGGAAAGATCCTAGTGCCAGTCTTATCGTCATTTCTGCCTCAGCTATCCGTTTTAAAATCAAGAACTCAAACCAAAACAACATTATTCATTTGAGGAATTGTTACCTTGCTCATCCAACACTCGTGCCCGTGCACAAGCCTCGGTTGGATCATCTGTGCTGCACCTTTAGCTCTGAAATCAACTGCAATATTTCAGGCAGAAAGGAAGAAAAACAATAAGAGCCAGCCATGGGAAGAGAGAACCCTTAAGAGACAAAGGTGAGTTTATTAGCAGTTGAGCGCATGAGCTTTGGAGCGATATTAGGTTCTGGTACATTCTGTTCCCAGCAGTTTCTGGTTTGCATGTGCAGTTCCTCCCCTGCCTCTATAAACAGAGGAGCGGGCCAGGATGGGTGCAGAAAGTCAGCAGCTTTACTGCAGAGTTAGCACGCTGGCACGCAGACTGTTTTCTGTGTCAACAAGACCTAAACACGAAGACATAATAAAACAGACGCAATGCAACACTATAAAATATACAACCAAGCAGGACAGAAAAAAAAAAAAAAAAAAAAACCTAAGAGGATTTTTTTTATGTGTAGCTTCATAAGCCAAAATAAAGCTACACTTTAATAAGGCATCATAAAAGGGAGGAATGACAGAAATTAAATTGGTTTCAAACGTCTTTGTGGGTCTTCAGTTGTTTTTTTTTTGGCAGACTGAAATGAAAACTTCTCATGGAAATATTAACATACAGTATCTGACTGTATACAGCAGTATACGTTTCACCCTAAACAGTGGTGGAGAAAGTACTCAAAAAATGTACTTAAGTAAAAGTACAAATACACAGTCAAAAACATACTCAAGTAAAAGTCAAAGTACCACATTAACATTTTACTTAAGTAAAAGTAAAAAAGTACTGGCTTTTAAAAATACTTAAGTATTAAAAGTAAA